CCTCAGTCCCGCCATCCCGGGGCATTGTGCTGATTTGATTTCTAAGCTTGCACTCTGCCCTGCATGGATGCTGCAGGTGCAAACTAAAAAAGTACTTAGGTCACATTAACATAGTCCTCTTCAAACAGAACTACGTTTACACTGGGTTTGAACATGAACTAGGTAACTTTTAGTTCACACCAACAGTGTCACACAGAGAAGTTAGAGCGCAACATTTTGGTTTACTCTGCAGTTCACACCCCTACCACAGCAGAGTCAACCCCTGAGACAAAGGTTATGAGGACAGTGTCCTGAGAAAAGGGTAATGAAAAACGAGCGTGTACCAACTATACTAGGGGCACTATCTTTGCTCTAAATGTGGGAACGGTATGCCAATGCTCACTTAGCACAGGGATGAGTTACGTTTGAGAGAGAATGCAAGAGCCATAATAAGGTTATCCCAGGATGAACACCAAGCCAAATGATTAGAGTTAAATATCACGTTAAATATCGGAGTATGCAACTCAAATAAGGGGTAGCCTATATTCCACACCACTACCAAGAGCTGAAAAAAGATTGTGCTATAAGACTTTCTGTGAGAGTGGCTGAGGTGGTGTTTGTAGTGTAATAGTACAAGATATTCAAAGGTAAGAGCAGCAATATTTGTATACATAAATCAAACATTTTAAGAGCTGTGTTATATATTGAAAAGACCTCAATACTTCTTAAGAGAATAGCTTCAAAAGTTTAGCTTCCAAGGGAACAAGAAGTCAGTAAACCTGAACAGTTACAAATATGCACTCAGAGGCATAATTAGCCTTTCCTTTGAAAGGAAAAAGCAGATACAGAATTTTAAAATTAAAATTTGGTGTGACAGACTCCAACAAATCAATGTCAGAAGCTGTCTTCCCAGTTTCTGAGTTCTCAGTTATTAGACTGGAAGCCTATAGAAAGGCTTGATGCCATTTAAAAAAAAAAGAAAACAAATACAACCCACAGTTTTATTTTTAATAATTTGTAATTTAGCCAGGACCAAGATACAGATGCAGTGAAATCCAAAGCAGAAAATTCAGAATGAAAATAGCAAACTCATAAAGAAAAAGCTATAATCAGTTTCCAAAGTCAAAACAAATTATAAACTCCCTTCTTTTTTCCATACACATCTCATCAATCTCTTTTGTTCAATAAATAGATAAAAAAAAATGTCAGTAGTAGAAAATGGTTGAGCAAATCCATCTAGAGAAAAACAACAGAGAAAGGCATCCTAGGGTTCTGGCAACTCTGCACTGCAACCATAGCACAGCACACCACAGCAATGTATCAAAGGGATAGTTTCCCTTTGCAACCTCTTGTACTTTGAGAGACAGACTTCAGGCTCTTTCACTTTCTTCTCCTCCAGCCTCTCTCTAACCTCTACATACATGAAGCCCAACTAGCAATGGACAAAAAACACAGTACATTACGGAATTAGTCCCAGAAATCAGTTCCAAGCAGCAGACCCCTGCACCTGTGCACAACAGCCCTTCTGAAGTTTATGGGACATTGTGTAGACAAATGGAATAATCTGCACAAATCCAACTGCAGGATCAGAGCCTAAATCAGAAATTTTTTCACCTTCCAATCCATAATTTCGTCCTCACTTGTTTTTACAAGTTTTATTGTAGAAAGTACATTAACATCACAAGATTATAATCCAAAATGAGCACAGAACTCTATCAAAATTCGCAGAAATACTGAACTGATGATCTAACAATATTGTTCTATTGCTTTGACTTGGCAAACCTGTCAACTGATCAACTATTATTTGACTACAGTCAAATCTCATCGAACATTTCAGCAGGAATCTCCTGATGTACATAATGTCTTGATTGTATCATGTATATTTCCATTTTTCAGAACTTAATTTCACTGTGTTTTGCACTTTCAGAATTAAAATATGTAAATTAAGAAACTTGTTTTTTGTAAGTTGGTATAAATAAGGCTAAGCCTATTGGAAACCATAAAGTCTTATTCTTTTTTGTTACTGTACCAATAAATCAGTTCTTTAAGATATATGGACCATTTTTTGACATTTGACAATATTTTAATCAATATTTGTCTGGTCATCTCACCAATTATTTATGGACCGGTCAAATGCCCAACCTTGTATATCACTAGTAGGTAAGAGACCTAATTTTGATTCTGTGTCTCTTATCTCCCCCCTCTCTCCAAAAGCTGGAAATACTGTAGAGGCATCATCCTTAAGTCCTCAGCAAGTGAGGCTCCAATCCTGCAAACAACTCCATGTGGGTGCATGAATCACTGAAGTTAAGTGGACACTGTGTGGACACAGAAGAATGGAGCACTGTGCAGGATCGGGGTCTTGCACTGTTCAACAGCAACCAACTAGGTAAAAAGCAGCACTGCCAGCTACTGAAGAAGTCCATTCTGGCTCAGCTGGGAGGAAGATGGCTACGATTTGGAAACTTAAAGGGGCACAATAAATTAGAAATCTAGTCTTTTGTAATTGTTCAAAGTAGTTTCAGGTACAAACATCTGCTCCCAAATTCCCGAACCTGTAGGGCCCTACCAAATTCTTGGCCATGAAAAACCATGAAATCTGGTCTTTTGTGTGCTTGTACCCTGTACTATACAGATTTCACAGGGGAGTCCAGTGTTTCTCAAACTGGGGGTCCTGACTCAAAAGGGCATTGCAGGGGCGTCACCAGGTTATTTTAGAGGGGTTGTAGTATTGCCATCCTTAGTTCTGCACTGTCTTCAGAGCTGGGTGGCTGGACAGCGGCGGCTGTTGGCTGGGCACCCAGTTCTGAAGGCAGCCCCCTGCCAGCAGCAGCACAAAAGTAAGGGTGGCAATACAATACCATGCCACCCTTACTTCTGCACTGCTGCCTTCAGAGCTGGGCAGCCAGAGGATGGCGGCTGCTAATTGAAGGCCCAGCTTTGCAGGCAGCAGTGCAGAAGTAAGGGTGGCAATACCAGACCATTCCATCCTTACTTCTGTGCTGCTGCGAGCAGTGGCTCTGCCGCCTTCAGAGCTGGGCTCCCAACCAGCAGCTGCTGCTCTCCAGCTGCCCAGTTCTGAAGGCAGAGCCGCAACCAGCAGCTGCGTAGAAGTCAAGGTAGCAGTACCGAAACCCCACACACAATAACCTTGTGACCCCTCCCCCCAGAACTCCTTTTTGGGTTAGGACCCCTACAGTTAGAACACCGTGAAATTTTCCGATTTAAGTAGCTGAAATCATGAAATTTACACTTTTAAAAATCCTATGACTGTGAAATTGACCAAAATGGATGGTGAATTTGGTAGGGCCCTACCTACTTGTTTTGGGGATTTTTCGGTCACGCTTACCTATTTTTAAGTGTTTTCCTGCTCTTTGTTGCTGGGTGAGAAATCCATGCAAATAAGGGAAACCAACCAATCATAAAGGGAAAACATGAAAAAGACTATAATGCTGCCAAATGCACAAAGTTATAGAAATCATAGCCATTGATCCTGGAAGCTCTTCCATGCTGGCAGATCTTTGTGCCAATGCAGAGCCCCATTAAAGATAATGGGCCTCCACATGGGCACAACAATGTATATCTGTGGAGCATGTTGCAGGGCCAGGACCTTAGGTGTCACCTGCAACAACGATTGACAGAAGAAATGTCACACATTAGTATGATTTTTAACATACTGTCAAACATTTTTGGCAGTGTTCCTTTAATAATAGGGCAACACAGGAAATACCTTATCAGGACAGACCAATCAACTGGTCCACATTCTCAGGCATTTTAGCTCTATAAATGATTGTACTCTATGGTTCAGTCTGGGAAGAGGTGGGGATTGTGAGCCACAAAAAGAAATGTGGAAACAGCCTGCTATGGGATGTGAACTTCCTTAGCAAAAAACAAAACAAAACAAAAAAACTGTATTACAACATAAACAACAGAAAACAGCTCCCAAAGGGAGAAAACTGATTAACCCACGCAATCATCTCTTGTGTAATTTAACAAATAGTGGTATAAATACTCCAGATGTATGAATTACATTTATACTGTGAAAGTAATCTTTGAAATAAATTAGTATTTTCTTTTATCCAGTACTAGGTGTTTTGCAGAGGAATAGTCAGTACTCAGTGTCTCTGCTATCAGAGAAGTTTGTGGCTAAGCCTGTGCAAGTTACATTGCTAAAGCAGGCGGTTTGCATTAAAAGAGGGAAACCTTTCTTCCCTTCAAGCAAGAAGATAAAGGCGCTTAAGAGGGAATTATTTCCAATGACCTATATAATTTCATCAGTCCTCCGGCTGCTATTCGTAGAAGAGATCTAACTTCCTAATGAGATAGAGTCAACAGCACAGCCCTTCCTGGGGGAAGCTAGAGAGTCGGTCCAATCCATTGGGAAATGGGACAATGATTAGCACCGAGCCCGAACAAACAAAAGCGGTAGAAAAGCCCTCGTGTTTCACCAGCCTCGGCCCTGTCCCTGCCACCGGCACCATGCACCCAAGCGGGGGCGGACTGAAGGCGGCCAGTTTTGTTCGGCAGGGGCGGGGCTGGGCTGAGGCATCGCTCCTGTTGCCACACGCAAGGTCAAAGCGGCGGCGCCGACCCTGCCAGCGGCAGCGCGTCCCGTACGCCGCCCAGCAGCCACGGGCGCAGGTGACGAGCTCCCGAGCCCAAGTGCAGCGCGGGCCCGCGCGTTGGCTCCGGAGTTGCGCATGCCATTTCCGCGCGCGCGGACTCGTGCGCAGCGCCGCCTCCCTGCCCAGCTCGCGGGCGGCGGGGGGTCTCGGCCAGCGCCCTGCCCCGGGCCCATCCCCTGCAGACCCCCCACCACACGCCTCGGGGCAACTCCGTCCCCGCGCGTCCCCCCTCTCAGCACCTGGCCCGCCCCGTGCCCGGGCCCGTATCGGGCGCGGGGAGCCGCCCCAGGCCAGGGGAGCCCCGGAGAACAGCCCTCACCCCCCCCCCCGACACACACACACGTGGGCGCCGCTCGCCAAACGAGCGAGTAAAGCGCCTACCTGGCTGGGGCCCCCCTCTCCGCTGTGACCCGGGCCGGAGGAATCCCGGGAGCGGCTCGGCAGCCGCGGGAAGAAGGGGAGATGCAGGCGGCCGCCTCTGGCTCAGCTGGCGCCGCGGGAGGGGCAGGAGGAGGCAGCTCCCAAGAGCAGCAGGTAAATCCCTCCTGGTTGTTAAGCAATAATCCTCCGGCGCTGGGGAGGAGCCGGAGCTGGGGACAGGGCGCCGTCCTCTGCAGCCCCCGGGGCTGTGTTTTGTTACCCCTGGGCGGTTACACCGGCACCTCCAACTCGGGGGGGGCTCAGAGCCTTTCAATAGCCCCCACAGCAACTTGGGAACAACAATAAAGTTTGTGTAACTAGGAAGCCCGGGCCGATTGTGTGACTCACCTCGAGCCCCAGACTCCCAACAGCGGGAGGAGGAGTTGGGGCTGAGGTGGAAGCTGTCCTACCACAGCGTCCCCTGCTGCTGCGCCCCCTTCAGGCTGCCCTCGTGCAAGCGTGCCACCCCGCCGTAAAGGAACCGGGCGGCTGCCGTGCCTGCTCCAGGTGTTTACTAATTGCACGGGATCATTGAAACGCACAGGGGAAGTTGCCACTGAAAGTTTGTGGAGCTAGAAGGATGATGCTTCAAATTTCAAGTGTGACCCCGGGGGAATTCTTGTACGTTTCGATCATATTTCAGCGTATATCCATCCTACTCTACTTCTGTTTTCCATACCTTGGGGTTTTTTTTAATTGCATGTCAGAGCCTGTCTTTCTCTTTGATTCGTCTGAGTAAATGAAAACCAAATATTGACCTCGATGTTGCATTAATTTTGCTGACAACTGTGGCTTCATAGATACAGAAATATTTATTGTATTATTGTCTGCAGCTCAACCCATTGTCTCAAGTATTCCAGGAGTGTAACTGAAAGCACATGCTTTATACAAGAGTGGAAACAAACAGTACATTACAGATGAACCCATAATCATCATACCCCACTTAAAATGATGCAACAATCCACAATATTTGTCAATAACGGAACACAGGAGATCTCATCCTGCAGCCAGAATTCCCAGGAGTAGTCTTATTCATGTGAGTAGTCTTGTGGTGGCCTCTGACAGTAAGGGCTTCAGGATAAGACCTGCTGATTAACAGGGTAATGAGGTTTCACTGTAATTGTAGGAAAGAACATATTTTTTGGGAGGAGGGAAACTAAGGCATAATAAATAGGTATGTATATTATAAATAATATCTACATTTGATAAGATGTGGGAAACAGGTAATTATTTGTACTGATACTGTTATGGTGGGAGTCACTAGATGACGTTGTTACACACAGTGCTACGAATGCTTTTTTCTTAGCCGGAGGAAGCCGTTCAATCTTCAAATGTTTGTACTGTTAGTTGTGTGATGCTGTTTGTCTGTGGAGAGCTGTGGCAAGTAGCAATCAATGGTGTTTGCTCTCTACCTTAATATCTCTAACTAGATTCAGTTCTCGGTGCAGAGTTCACTAGAAACCAGACACTGGTGTTTTGACCGAAATTCCTGAAAGAGGGAGCCTATGTAATATTTGACAAGATCTCTAAAGACTAGTCTGTATATAAGATAAAAAGTAGCACTAAGAAAATACCCAGACTCCATGTCACTGAGTTCTCTTCCAAGAGGCAACTAATGTGGCAGGCCTAGGACAAGTGCTAACACTCAGCAGATGGGTGACAATATTAATGACCATTATAAATCTGAAAGAGACATTAGTCTAAGGTACTTATGTCTCAGTGAGAGAGAATTCCACTCCAAATACCTTAGTATAACAATGATAGACTACCTTCATGAGTAGTTGCCATATTTATTACACATACTACATATTTCCTTTAAAAAAAATAAGGCTGTATGAATTGGAACATCAGGATAGTGATCCCAAGCCTGTGAATATGGCTTTACCATAGATCAAAATAGGAAGAGAAGATTAAGGTAAAAGCTCATTCAAATAAAAGTGCTATATAATTAAATACAAATAATAAATTCAGTAAATTCCATGTATATGGGAAGAGTCCTTCCTAAAAGATCTATACAATGAAAGATTAATTTATTCATTTAGATTTATTGCACCTATCAGTAACTTCTAGATCCTTACAAAGTATTTTAAAACCACATACACTAAATCAGTATGTCAAAAAGCTAGTTAAAAGGATCTCTCCAAAAGCCTTCTCCAGCCATAAATAAAACAATTGCTCCAAAATTCCAGACCTCTACAGAACATATACACCTGCAATGTATAAAAAATTTCCTTCAAGCAAATTTTCTCTGCCACTGCCATATCTACCCCAGTCAGACCGCCTGACCTGAAAAAGACGGGGAGCATGTCTTGAAGGTTCACCAAGTATAGGCTCAAATGAAACAAGGAAGCAAATTCCAGAGACCAGAACTCCTCACTAAGAATATCCTGTTCCTGTCTCCTTTTTACACTTGGACTGGGTATTAGTTCAAGCACATTGAATAATTGCAAATGTCCTGCTATCATCCAGAAAGAGACCCTCAAATAGGCCAGACCAGAGGTAGTGGAAGCAAAAGTGGATGGGAACCTGGGAGGCAGTGACCATGAGATGGTAGAGTTCAGGATCCTGACGAAAGAAAGGAGAGCAGCAGAATACAGACCGTGGACTTCCGAAATGCAGACTTTGACTTCCTTAGGGAACTGATGGGCAGGATCCCCTGGGAGAATAACATGAGGGGGAAAGGAGTCCAGGAGAGCTGGCTATATTTTAAAGAATCCTTATTGAGGTTACAGGGACAAACCATTCCGATGTGCAGAAAGAATAGTAAATATGGCAGGTGACCAGCTTGGCTTAACAGTGAAATCCTTGCTGATCTTAAACACAAAAAAGAAACATACAAGAAGTGGAAGACTGGACAAATGACCAGGGAAGAGTATAAAAATATTGCTCGGGGATGCAGGAGTGAAATCAGGAAAGGCCAAATCACATCTGGAGTTACAGCTAGCAAGAGATGTTAAGAGTAACAAGAAGGGTTTCTTCAGGTATGTTAGCAACAAAAAGAAAGTCAAGGAAAGTGTGGGCCCCTTACTGAATGAGGGAGGCAACCTAGTGACAGAGGATGTGGAAAAAGTTAATGTACTCAATGCTTTTTTTGCCTTTGTCTTCACGAACAAGGTCAGCTCCCAGACTACTGCACTGGGCAGCACAGCATGGGGAGGAGGTGACCAGCCCTCTGTGGAGAAAGAAGTGGTTCGGGACTATTTAGAAAAGCTGGATGATGCGCTGCATCCAAGAGTGCAAAAGGAGTTGGCGGATGTGATTGCAGAGCCATTGGCCATTATCTTTGAAAACTCATGGCGATCAGGGGAGGTCCCGGACGGCTGGAAAAAGGCTAATGTAGTGCCCATTTTTAAAAAAGGGAAGAAGGAGGATCCTGGGAACTACAGACCAATCAGCCTCACCTCAGTCACTGGAAAAATCATGGAGCAGGTCCTCAAGGAATCAATTCTGAAGCATTTAGAGGAGAAGAAAGTGATCAGGAACAATCAGCATGGATTCACCAAGGGAAGTCATGCCTGACTAATCTAATTGCCTTCTATGACGAGATAACTGGCTCTGGATGAGGGGAAAGCAGTGGACGTGTTGTTCCTTGACTTTAGCAAAGCTTTTGACACGGTCTCCCACAGTATTCTTGTCAGCAAGTTAAAGAAGTATGGGCTGGATGAATGGACTATAAGGTGGATAGAAAGTTGGCTAGATTGTTGGGCTCAATGGGTAGTGATCAATGGCTCCATGTCTAGTTGGCAGCTGGTATCAAGTGGAGTGCCCCAAGGGTCGGTCCTGGGGCCGGTTTTGTTCAATATCTTCATAAATGATCTGGAGGATGGTGTGGATTGCACCCTCAGCAAGTTTGCAGATGACACTAAACTGGGAGAAGAGGTAGATACGCTGGAGGGTAGGGATAGGATACAGAGGGCCCTAGACAAATTAGAGGATTGGGACAAAAGAAATCTGATGAGGTTCAACAAGGACAAGTGCAGAGTCCTGCACTTAGGACAGAAGAATCCCATGCACTGCTACAGAGTAGGGACCGAATGGCTAGGCAGCAGTTCTGCAGAAAAGGACCTAGGGGTTACAGTGGACGAGAAGCTGGATATGAGTCAACAGTGTGTCCTTGTTGCCAAGAAGGCCAATGGCATTTTGGGATGTATAAGTAGGGGCATTTCCAGCAGATTAAGGGACATGATCGTTCCTCTCTATTCGACATTGGTGAGGCCTCATCTGGAGTACTGTGTCCAATTTTGGGCCCCACACTACAAGAAAGATGTGGAAAAATTGGAAAACGTCCAGCGGAGGACATCAAAAATGATTAGGGGACTGGAACACATGACTTATGAGGAGAGGCTGAGGGAACTGGGATTGTTTAGTCTGCGGAAGAGAAGAAAGAGGGGGGATTTGATAGCTGCTTTCAACTGCCTGAAAGGGGTTCCAAAGAGGATGGATCTAGACTGTTCTCAGTGGTAGCAGATGACAGAACAAAGAGTAATGGTCTCAAGTTGCAGTGCGGGAGGTTTAGGTTGGATATTAGGAAAAACTTTTTCACTAGGAGGGTGGTGAAACACTGGAATGCATTACCTAGGGAGGTGGTGGAATCTCCTTCTTTAGAAGTTTTTAAGGTCAGGCTTGATAAAGCCCTGGCTGGGATGATTTAGTTGGGGATTGGTCCTGCTTTGAGCAGGGGGTTGGACTAGATGACCTCCTGAGGTCCCTTCCAACCCTGATATTCTGTGATTCAGATCATCACACGATAGAACCAGTAACTTCAACTACACCCCGTAATGAACTGTCAGCCAGGGCATGTCACAATGCACAGGTGTAATATTTTGTATGAAACATCACTTCATAAACAGGCCTGTGATTTCTGTACTAGCTGCTATTTCCAGATGTTTTAAGGTATAGCCCCATTACAATAATCCAAGGAAAATTATTACAATAAGAGCCATATCTGAAAAAGACACAACCTCCTCCTAAGTGCAAATGATAAAATGTGCTCTTAGGAACAGCTGCCATCTGAGTAATCAGGAGCAGCCTGGGATCCAACAAAACCCCCAGGCTGTCGAACCTTTGAAACAGTGGGCATACCCTCTCAACCAAGGATGCTGATATCCCAGTTCTTCCATTTGCTTCTCCCATCCCTATAAGCATTTTTCCTATCATTCCTACACAGTAGAGGGAATCCCTGGGTGACTTAGGCCTGGTCTACAATACAAAGGTAGGCCTACATAAGCTGCCTTGCGTCAACCTAGTTGTGCACGTGTCTACAGTGAAACTTGTCTTCCACCGATGTGAGCTCCCCATTACGCCAACATACCAATACCACTTCCCCAAGGACCACTGAGCCATGGTTGATGTATTGAGATTGACACAGCATGAACATAGACACACCGATGTCAACCCTAATAGTCCTCCAGCAGCTGTCCCACAATACCCAACACTTTGGTCACAGTTGTGAACTCCACTGCCCAAGGGTCATGGAGACTGGAAGTTCCCCCTACCCCCCTTTAAGCCCTGCACGGTTTTGAAATGCCTTTTAGTGATTGTCCATTTTGGTGAGAACACCTAGCAGCTCTCCATTGTTGCATGCAACTTCCCAGCTGACCATGCCAGCTACATGCTTGGGCCTGTGGAGAGAAGAGGCTGTTCAGGCACAACCTCGGATCACACACAGAAACGTGGACATCTACAGTTAAATTGAATGGTGGGTGCAGGAGAAGGAATCGGGGATCAGCAGCAGTGCCGCATGAAAGTGAAGGAACAGCAGCAGGCATATCAGAAGGCCAGGGAAGCCAACAGTTGATCTAGTGCCAAGCCACAGACCTGGCACTTTCACAAAAAGATGCATGCCGTACTTGGCGGAGACCTGACCACCACCTCGCATACCGCTATGGGCACCTCCAATGAGCCCAAGTTACAGACTCCTGGCATGAACAGCGAGGAGGAGAAGGATGGGGGATGTGAGCTGGGGTCCAACTATGCCCTGAGCTGTTTGAGACTCCACCATAGTCCAGTTAGTCAAGCACGGGCAAACCTGATGCAGGGGAAGGAATCTTGGGTATGTATGTAAGTTTATTCCCGATTAAAGTGATGGTGTCCCCAACTTAGCAGGACACAGCTATTGACTTTTCATTAATTTACTCATACTACAAGAGATACAAGAAAGAAAGGTAGAATCATCTGCTTTTCATTCCCCTGTAGAGTTTGGGGGGGGGGGGGGTTTAGGTGGGAAGGGAATATAGACTAGTTTGTTTATGTACACAGGGATGTTTATGTACACAGGGCTCAAGAGCAAACTATCCCACTGTGTTGGAAAGATAGGAAGTATGGCAAGAGACCACCCTGGCTTAACCAGGAGATCTTCAGTGATCTAAAACTCAAAAAACAGTTCTACAAAAAGTGGAAACTCTATCAAATTACAAAGGATGAATATAAACAAATAACAAAAGTATGTAGGGAAAAAATTAGAAAAGCCAAGGCACAAAACGAAATCAAACTAGCTAGGGACATAAAAGGAAACAAGAAAACATTCTACAAATACATTAGAAGCAAGAGGAAGACCAAGGACAGAGTAGGTCCTTTACTCAAGAGGGGGGAAAGACAACAACAGAAAATGTGGAAATGGCAGAGGTGCTTAATGACTACTTTGTTTCAGTTTTACCAAGAAGGTTGGTGGTGATTGGACGTCTAACATAGTGAATGCCAGTGAAAATGAGGTAGGATCAGAGTCTAAAATAGGGAAAGAACAAGTCAAAAATTACTTAGACAAGTTAGATTGTCTTCAACTCACCAGGGCCTGATGAAATGCATCCTAGTATACTCAAAGAGCTAACTGAGGAGATATCTGAGCCGTTCGCAATTATCTTTAAAAAGTCATGGAAGATGGGAGACATTCCAGAAGACTGGAAAAGGGAAAATATAGTGCCCATCTATAAAAAGGGAAATAAAGACAACCTGGGGAATTACAGACTAGTCAGCTTAACTTCTGTACCTGGAAAGATAATGGAGCAAATAATTAAGCAAGCAATTTGCAGACACCTAGAAGATAAAAAGGTGATAAATTACAATCAGCATGGATTTGTCAGGAACAAATAATGTCAAACCAACCTGATAGCTTTCTTTGACAGGGTAACAAACCTTGTGGATGGGGGGAAGTGGTAGATGTGGTATATCTTGACTTTAGTAAGGCTTTTGATACTGTCTCACATGACCTTCTTGTAAACTAGGGAGATCCAACCTAGATGGAGCTACTACAAGGTGGGTGCATAACTGGTTGGAAAATCATTCCCAGAGAGTAGTTATCAGTGGTTCACAGTCATGCTGGAAGGGCATAACAAGTGGGGTCCCACAGTGATCGGTTCTGGCTCTGGTTCTGTTCAATATCTTCATCAATGATTTAGATAATGGCATAAAGAGTACACTTATAAAGTTTGCGGATGATACCACGCTGGGAGGGGTTGCAAGTGCTTTGAAGGATTTGATTAAAATTCAAAATGATCTGGACAAACTGGAGAAATGGTCTGAAGTAAATAAGATGAAATTCAATAAGGACAAATGCAAAGTACTCCACTTACGAAGGAACAATCAGTTGCACACAAACAAAATGGGAAATACCTAGGAAGGAGTACTGCGGAAAGGGATCTGGGTGTCATAGTGGATCGCAAGCTAAATATGAGTCAACAGTGTAACGCTATTGCAAAAAAAAGCAAACATCATTCTTGGATGTAGTAGCAGGAGTATTGTAAGCAAGACATGAGAAGTAATTCTTCCGCTCTACTCTGTGCTGATTAGGCCTCAGCTGGAGTATTGTGTCCAGTTCTGGGCACCACATTTTAGGAAAGATGTGGACAAATTGGAGAAAGTCCAGAGAAGAGCAACAAAAATGATTAAAGGTCTAGAAAACATGACCTATGAGGGAAGATTGAAAAAAATTGGGTTTGTTGAGTCTGGAGAGAAGACTGAGAGGGGACATAAGTTTTCAAGTACATAAAAGGTTGTTACAAGGAGGAGGGAGAAGAATTGTTCTTCTTAACCTCTGAGGATAGGACAAGAAGCAATGGGTTTAAATTACAGCAAGGGTGGTTTAGGTTGGACATTAGGAAAAACTTCCTAACTGTCAGGATGGTTAAGCACTGGAATAAATTGCTTAGGGAGGTTGTGGAATCTCCATCATTGGAGATTTTTAAGAGTAGGTTGGACAAACACCTGTCAGGGATGGTCTAGATAATACTTAGTCCTGCCTTGAGAGCATGGGACTGGACTAGATGACCTCTCGAGGTCCCTTCCAGTTCTATGATTCTATGATCTCAATGAAACTTTCATGGAAGTATTCTGCAATCCTTTCCCAAAGGTTTATAGGGATGGCAGACTTATTTCTTCCTTTATGGTAGGACACTTTCCAACTCCAGTAAGCAATAACTTTGGCAGGTACCATTGCAGTAAACAAGCTAGTGGCATATGGGCATGGGCAACTTTAGGATGCCAGCAACAGCTGTGTCCTGTGTGCCTTTGTTATCCTCAGAAGTGAGATATCCACTAAAATCACCACCATCTGTTGAAAATGGTGCCAATATTCAGTTTCATTGCCTTATACTCATGGTTTCATGCAACTGAGCATTTCTCTCCTCATTTCTCTTGTCCCGGCAAGCCATACTCACTATGGCTGGTGCTGTGAGTGGCACTCGGAAGCACAAGTGTCAATGTCCTGTTTAAAACTTTAGGGGAGCAAGGGAAGGGAGCTGTAAATCTTGACTTTTTTGTTGTGACTATACTGACAATGGTAACTCTGTGTGTTTTATCTGTAGCTGCTGCCATTCAGGCCATGAGGGGTTCCCCCTCCACACCCATGGATGCCTGAGCCAGATAAAGAAGAGAAATAAGATATTTAGGATGACATGTACAGCAAGATCCTGCAAGCCAGTGCTGTATCAGACCCTGAACAGAGAGCCTGGAGAAAGGCCCAGATGTCAGAGAGCGAGATGCACCAGGATATAATAGGGTTTCTCCGGCAGCAAACACAGATGCTGCAGACTCCTGTGGACCTACAGGGTCAATAATCCTGGACTCACCTACCTTTGGTGAACTCCAGTACATGGAGAATTCTAGTATAGCACACTCCACTCCCCATAAATGCTACTCAACATTCCACAGAGTATCAGGGATCATGTCCCTACCCCTACCAGTCCACACTGGGAGATATTAAGGACAACTACAGCTTCACCTATGAGAGCCATGGTAGCTGTATGTGTTGCTAAATTGGACATGATTTCATTCTTCAAGCTCTGTTCCATATATTTATTAAGGTTTTAACATGTTTTCTTTTTTAAGCTGCACAACATTTTTTGAAGTGTTTTCATTACCCAACAAAACAGTATTTTTTGGAAAATAATTCATCTTTATTAGTCCCAAACATATGCTGCAGAATGTGTGGTGGAAGTGAAAGCATCCACTTGTTGTTGTACGATATGACACAGCTCATAGGATCAGTGACAAACACAGTGTAATAATTATAAATGTACAGGGAGCCCCACAAAAATAATAGGAGTAGTGACCGTATTATATCCATAAATGTGCACCAAGCACCACACACTTCCTAACAGACCCCCAAGCTTCAGGGCCAGGTAGAGAACAGTACACCATGATGCATTTCTGTGGATCACTGTTCAAGTGCTTTTTCAAAGCTGCCCTGAACCCTAAAGTTCTGCTTCGAGCTCTTCTGATAGCTCTTGTGGCTGGCTGTTAAAACTTAGCAGATTGCTGCTCCACCTCCACCCCAGTAGCAACTTTCCTACTTTTGCTTCTCAGCTATTATGCAGGACACAAAAGGCACCTCTAACCATTGGGATATTTTTCTCACTGAGATCCAATCTTGTGAGTAAGGTACACCAGCACCCATTCAGTCTACCACTGGCACATTCAACTGTCATTCTGCAGCTATCAGAGGAACAGCCGTGTTAGTCTGTATTCGCAAAAAGAAAAGGAGTACTTGTGGCACCGTAGAGACTAACCAATTTATTTGAGCATGAGCTTTCGTGAGCTACAGCTCACTTCATCAGATGTTTACCGTGGAAACTGCAGCAGACTTTATATACACACAGAGAATATGAAACAATACCTCCTCCCACCCCACTGTCCTGCTGGTAATAGCTTATCTATTATCTATTCTGCAGCTACTGAGCCAGTAGCTGAATCTTTCTTTGGTGCTGTGACGGTGGCTGATATATGGCTTCATGAGTAAGGGATAGTCTGAGTCCCCCAGGATCACTACTGGCATTTCAACATTGCTAATGGTAATCTGCTAGTTGGAAAAGAAACTCTTTGCTTGTAGCTTTCTAAACAGTCCTTTGTTCTTAAAGATATGAGTGTCATGTACCTTCTCTGACCAGCTAACAGTGATATAGGTGAAACATCCCCAGTGATCCAACAGTGCTTGAATAACTAGAAAACTAGCACTTTCTGTGGATGTACTCTGTGGCAAGGTAGTGTGGTGCCAAAATAGGAATATGTATGCCAGCTATCTCTCCACTGCAGTTTGAGAACCATGTTGCTGGAAATCCATCTATTATACCCTGCGCATTGCTGAGTGTCACAGGCCTGTGTAGCAGGAGGCTATTAATGGCCCTGCACAATTCCATGACAATGGCCTCTATGGTGGATTTTCCAACTCCAAAACGATTTCCAACTAACTGGTAGCAATCTGGTGTTGCAAGCGTCCACAATGTGATTGCCATTCTCTTTGCCATTGTCAGTGCAGGTCTCATTCTGGTGTTCCTGGGCTGGAGGGCTGGGGTGAGTGTGACAGATCCAGGAATGTGGCCTTGTGCATCTGAAAGTTTTGCAGCTATTGCTCATCATCCCAGCCCTGCAGTATGATGTGACACCAGTCAGTTCTTGTTTCTTGGGTCAAGAAGTAGCGCTGCACTGTTCACAGCTGTGAACACCAACAATCTTGAATTGGTTCTCTCTATGTCTAACAGCAGTCTGCCCTCCAGGAAAATTGCCCTATTCCCGGTGGCTCTACTTGCAGCTCTGCAAATACCAAAGGCTTGGGCGTCCTGTGCTTGCAAAACTCATGACAGTAGTGCAGAGCTGTGCTGGCTCCATGCTTCTGTTAGAGATGGTGGACAGCAACAAGTCCGATGTTGGTTTGTGGGATTTTCAAAATAGGCATGAAAATTATGGGCTAGAGATGGCATTATAGGGTGGAGAAAGTTGTGTGATGGAAACTTAACCCTGCAGTTCCAGTCACCTCTGTGTGACAAAGCATTGCCAAAACTTCCCAAAAGAGAGCATCCTCGATGGTGGTAAGTTGTACACTGTGATTCCTACCACACTGTGCATCAGAACAAATGGTTCTGGTGAGTATGTGCAGTGCTGATGCAAGGAGCCAAGTATGCATGTGCACAAGCAATATACTAACTGCAGTGGCTTTATGCCAACGTAACTTGCATAGGCAAAAGTTTGTAGGGTAAATAGCGTGTGATCCCCAGCATAAGGGGTGTGGCAGAATTCCCCTTCACTCCAGATATTCTTGGCTTCCTGAATGACCCTTTGGAGCTGTGGGCAGTTAAGTGTAAATTAGAGCAGTCTAAGGGCTGTTCTGTGTTACACTAGATACGTTCCCAACTAGTCTCTGACTCCAGGGGGCTGCAGAGGTGGCATACTGCCAACAGCAGCAATTTCCTGGAGGGCAGACTGCTCCATGCCCTTTTAAATCGCGGCCCTGGGGCAGCGACTTCTTTCCCCCGTCCCGCCCCACTCCCCTGTCAGTGGCCGGGGGGGCAAAAGGGACAGTGACATTAAAGCGCTGCTGCGTCGCTGCCCCTTTTGTGCCCCCCCCCCATCGGCAGCCCTGCTGGGTCATCGCTGCCCCTTTTGGACCCCCCCATTGGCGGCCCTGCTGGTAGGGACCTGGCAGGGCCGCCGATGGGGGGCGCAAAAGGGGCAGCGACGTTAAAGTGCTGCCGCACCAGCACTTTTAAGGTCAGCAGTAGAAGCCGATACGGGCAGCTACCTTTTACTGGTATACTGTACCGGCCCATACCGCCTTACTTTCACCCCTGGTGTCATCCAACTTAACTATCACCAATTTCAAAATTAGGTTGTCTCAGATAATTAGAATCAGATTTATTAGAGAAAAGCAGTGGGAGAATCATCATAATAAAGGTAAACAGAATAAAAATTCAGTAACAGCTAGACTAAATATTGTGCCAAAGTATAGTTAACTAGGCCAGACCTTTTAGTTATGAACCAATGATTTAGCAAAATTTAAAATCTTACATTTTAGAGAGCTTGCTTTCCTCTCTCCAAACACTAAGGCTGCCAAACACTCCAGCTGGTATTCTCCTGAACAGTGACCTAGCTCAGCTGGATGTCTTCCTATGGTCCTCTCCCTCCTGTAACTCAAGAACCTACCAGCTGTGGCTCAGGTGTGAGAGCTGTTCATTAGCCGTTCATTAGCATTCCTCAGTCCCTGGAAAAATCATGGAGCAGGTCCTCAAAGAATCAATCCTGAAGCACTTGCATGAGAGGAAAGTGATCAGGAACAGCCAGCATGGATTCACCAAGGGAAGGTCATGCCTGACTAATCTAATTGCCTTTTATGATGAGATTACTGGTTCTGTGGATGAAGGGAAAGCAGTGGATGTATTGTTTCTTGACTTTAGCAAAGCTTTTGACACGGTCTCCCACAGTATTCTTGCCAGCAAGTTAAGGAAGTATGGGCTGGATGAATGCACTATAAGGTGATGTTCCACATGACTTATGAGGAGAGGCTGAGGGAGCTGGGATTGTTTAGCCTGCAGAAGAGAAGAATGAGGGGGGATTTGATAGCTGCTTTCAACTACCTGAAAGGGGGTTCCAAAGAGGATAGCTCTAGACTGTTCTCAATGGTAGCAGATGACAGAACGAGGAGTAATGGTCTCAAGTTGCAGTGGGGGAGGTTTAGATTGGATATTAGGAAAAACTTTTTCACTAAGAGGGTGGTGAAACACTGGAATGCGTTACCTAGGGAGAATCTCCTTCCTTAGAGGTTTTTAAGGTCAGGCTTGACAAAGCCCTGGCTGGGATGATTTAACTGGGAATTGGTCCTGCTTCGAGCAGGGGGTTGGACTAGATGACCTTCTGGGGTCCCTTCCAACCCTGATATTCTATGATTCTATGTTGAACAGTTATCTCACAGGTTAGTTTAATTTGTAAATATAGAGTTTCAGTAGCTCTGCAACTTGATGTAATTTTCTCCTTACTTGAATTTAGCGCAGAATATAAACTTACTGACATGGTCATGAATAGTAACAGACAGCTAACACTTTAATGGCCCATTAGCAAGTTACATGTTCTTTCTCTAGTGTTACAGTTCTCAGTATTTTGAATTTGGATTCACAATTCACTGTTATGCTTATATCTTTCTATTCAAGCATATACCATCATATAACATAGTAGTGTTTTGATTTTATTATTCTAGAGCCGATGGGTTCAATATACCCTCTAAAAAAAACCCCAAATCATAGTTCTTGAAATATATAATGTATGCATGCCTGTGGTTTAGTAATTCATAAATGCATGTTTAAGGGTTTTTTTCCCTTTCATTTATGAGTAAGGTTTTCCTTCAGTGGAATTTCTACCTTTAGCAATTTTCAAAAGAGTGGTAATATGTGAGTACAAATTCTATTTTGGAAAAGACTTTATGTATATTGATGGACTTTTATCCATTTGGAGGTCTTAGACTTCCTAGCTGAATTCACTGTCATTTACACAACAGTTCATGATAATTGTGATGATACTCTCAACAATGGTGCGAAAGTGTGAGTACCAACCTCAGGGCAGACTGTTAACAAAACAGGCCAAAAACCCCCAATTGGTTGGGAGTTCAAACTCAGGCCTGGTCTACGCTACACAGTTAGGTCCATGTACGGCAGCTTACATCAACCTAATTATGTCAGTAGACACACTACAACCTTGTCCCGCTGGTGAAAGTGCCCTTTTACACTGTCCTAATAACTCCATCTCCCTGAGAGGTGTAGGGCTTATGTTGGTGTCTGGGCAGACACTGAGTTACTTATATTGGCTGTGGGCTGTCTTGTCAATTTGAGGGCTCCCTGCTGGAGCTGTGAAATTGACAAGAAAGCCGGGCAGCTAGAACTCAGCTGACCCCGGCTCTCTGCTCAGGGAGCCGAGAAGTCCCCAGGGGCAGCTGGGCTCCTGGTGGGGAGCTGCATAGAGCTGAAAGCCCTGACTTTCAGCCCACACTGCCCCTCTTCAGTCGGTGAAGTGCTCCTGGTGAGGACGCACACCATCGACAGAAGTAAGGCAGTGTGGACGTCAGCCACCACAAAAGCTTATGCCCAAATAAATTTGTTAGTCTCTAAAGTGCCACAAGGACTTTCATTGTTTTCACAGTAGGGCATGTTTCTAGAGCACATACTATATAACTTTTGCATGGTGTAGGAGGCTTCCCTTTCTCCTCTACAGATACTTTATCTTTTCCTTTCCTCTGCATGTTTTGAATAGACACATAATTGAGGCCCAGCCTTGTGCTTTAAATCCTTCAAATTGTGTGTGAGAGAAGTAGACACATGATCGTTCTTTGCCTTAAAAACAAAATCCCTCTATGGGCTTATATATCAGTGTTCAGTTTCACTTTGAGGGTAGGAGATTCTCATGCCTCTGGTGGATTTTTGTCCCCTCTTTGGGTACTTCTAAACCATTCCTGCCAGGAAAGATTTTTCTCTGGCCTATATAGATGCTTAATAGTAAGTTGTTTGCCTTAAAAATACACTAAAGGGATGCTTTTAAATACTTTTCCTATGGAGAAAATATCAAAAAAGCTCTCTTTAAGGGCTCAGTCCTTCTCTTCAAATTACAAATTGCTCTAACAGCCAGTGGGAGTTTTGTCTAAGAACTACAGAATACAGTTTTTAATGTAAATTTGATTGGCAGTGTCACTTTTCTTTCTTGGTTATGGTTGGCATTTTATTTAAATGGATACATGCCTGAGCCCCTACTCTATGCCCTCCAGCACGCACATGTGATACATTGGGTTTGCACCGAATACATGTCCAAGTCCCTTATCCCAGCCCTCTATGAAATCCTCTTCGACAAACTAGATTTATCACGGAATTGTCTCTGATTTCAAAAACAAAATATTGGCAAGTCTGTCAGTATGGAAACCATGAGAAAACCAAGAAGTGTTTGTGTTAAATGCCAACTATAATACATGCCTCCACAGAAAAGACAAAAGTTTACTCCAGGCTGGTTACAATGAGACACTACTCCAGTTTGTCTGGGGGGAGTTTCTCACTGATAGTTGTACAGCATGCTCCCTGCTCTGATAACATCCATCTACTTCAGCAATAATCTGATGCTCCAACATTTTTGCTCTTGCATTTTTGCCTGGCTTCAGAAGAACTTCCACTTTATGCTCTTAATGGACCAGCTTCCCAAGCACTAACAATGAGAAGGGGGACCTTGTTTAATGTAACTGACCGGTGTGTCACAAAAATGAATGAGACATACAAGCTGCCTAGTAGCAAGCCCACCAGGTGAACAAAGAAGGTAGTAATAGAGGGGTGATCTGAGCCCATCTATGACAGGACTTGAAATTAGAGTCACTAAGGCCTTGTATACACTAGGACTTTAGATCGAATTTAGCAGCGTTAAATCGATTTAAACCTGACCCGTCCACACAATGAAGCCCTTTATTTCGACTTAAAGGGCTCTTAAAATCGATTCCTTACCACCTGACAAGTGGATTAGCCTAAATCGACGTTGCGGCTCGAATTTGGGGTACTGTGGACACAATTCGATGGTATTGGCCTCGGAGTATCCCAGAGTGCTCCATTCTGACCGCTCTGGACAGGCCTCAACTCAGATGCACTGGCCAGGTAGACAGGAAAAGAACCGCGAACTTTTGAATCTCATTTCCTGTTTGGCCAGCGTGGCAAGTGCAGGTGACCATGCAGACTCATCAGCAGAGGTGACCATGATGGAGTCCCAGAATCGCAAAGGCTCCAGCATGGACTGAACGGGAGGTACGGGATCTGATCGCTGTTTGGGGAGAGGAATCCGTGCTATCAGAACTCCGTTCCAGTTTTCGAAATGCCAAAACCTTTCTGAAAATCTCCCAGGGCATGAAGGACAGAGGCCATAACAGGGACCCGAAGCAGTGGCGTGAAACTGAAGGAGCTGAGCAAGCCTACCAGAAAACCAGAGAGGGAACGGCGCTCTGGGTCAGACCCAAACATGCCGCTTCTATGATGAGCTGCATGCCATTTTAGGGGTTCAGCCACCACTACCCCAGCCGTGTTGTTTGACTCCTTCAATGGAGATGGAGGCAATACAGAAGTAGGTTTTGGGGACAAGAAGATGATGAGGAGGAGGTTGTAGATAGCTCACAGCAAGCAAGCGGAGAAACCGGTTTCCCGACAGCCAGGAACTGTTTCTCACCCTAGACCTGGAGCCAGTACCCCTGAACCACCAAGGCTGCCTCCTGGACTCAGCAGGCGGAGAAGGGACCTCTGGTGAGTGTACCTTTTAAAATGCTATACATGGTTTAAAAGCAAGCATGTGAAAGGATTACTTTGCCCTGGCATTTGCGGTTCTGCCTTTGCAAAAGGTTTCTGGGGAGGGCAGCCTTATTTCGTCCTTCATGGTAGGACACTTTACCACTCCAGGCCAGCAACACGTACTGGGGAATCACTGTAGAACAAAGCATTGCAGTGTATGTTTGCTGGCATTCAACCAAAATCCGTTCACGGGTGGGAGGAGGCAAAATGCGACCTT